GGCTCTCCTCAAGGTCAAAAATCACACCTCAAACACCTAAAAAATATCAAACACATATCAAAGATTAAAGTCTCAAATTCAAGTGCTCTCAAGAACCCTCTTGAAGATTTGAAGAAGTTCTTGAAAAACCGCCCGAAGTCCGTTCAATGAAGAAGAAGGCCAAGAAAAAGAAAAGGAGACGGCTTCTCTTCCCCAAGAAGTAAAAAGGCGACTTCAACTGCTCTCAAATCAACCCAAGCAAGCGACATCAAGCCGCGTTCATCGAGAAGTTCAAGCAACATAACATTTGATCCGGGAAAAAGTTATCAAGCCCCCGAGTCAACGTTATTCAAAATCCCTCTTTTAAGAAGATCAAAGAATCGAGTCCTCCAAGAAGTCTTCTTCAATCAAGTCAAGGCCTAACATTTAATACGGGAATAAGTCATTCAACCCCCAAATTAATGTTAGAGAAATTCAAGACCAAGCCCGAAAGAGATTAATTCGTCAAATCCATCTTTGAAGGTCTCAATCCCAAATTCATGAAGAGAAGAATCAGAGGAGATAAATAGAGATTATACCCGCAATATCATTTTGAAATTTAATCAAGTTGTACAAAAGTTTTATGTTTTTCATAAAATTTGTTGTTACAAATTTGGCACGCCCGGTGGGACTTTCTCTACCTCTCATCTCTTCTCTCAAAATCAAGTTCGAAGATCTTTGAAGATGCATGGAGACCTCTTTGAAGAAAATGTACATGGGGGCAATGAAGAATGATGTCTTCCCAAGCCATGAAGCATGGGGGCAAGTCACATGAAGAGCTCCATCAAATATTGAAATGCTCCTTGATACGAGCCTAAACTATCTACATATTCAAACGCTCCTTGATATGAGCTTAAACTATCTACAATGCTCCTTGATATGAGCCTAAACTATCTATATATTCCAATGCTCCTTGATATGAGCCTAAACTATCGATAAAGCTCCTCGATATGAGCCTAAACTATCTACATATTCCAATGCATCCTTGATATGAGCCTAAACTATCTACATATTCAAATGCTCCTTGATATAAGCCTAAACAATCTACATATTCAAATACTCCTTGATACGAGCTTAAACTATCTACATATGCTCCTTCATATGAGCCTAAACTATCTACATATTCAAATACTCCTTGATACGAGCATAAAATGTCTACAAACTTGAAGGCTCCTTGACACGAGCATAAAATGTCTTCATATCAAGATCTCCTTGACACGAGAATAAAAGGTCTACATATCAAACTTGAAGGCTCCTTGACACGAGCATAAAATGTCTACATATCAAGATCTCCTTGACACGAGCATAAAGTGTCTACAAATTCGAAGGCTCCTTGATACGAGCATAAAAGGTCTATATATAAAGATCTCCTTGATATGAGAATAAAAAGATCTACATATCAAACTTGAAGACTACTTGACATGAGCATAAAATGTCTACAAATTTGAAGGCTCCTTGACACGAGCATAAAATATCTACAAATTTGAAGGCTCCTTGACACGAGTATAAACTGTCTGTCAAATCAAATCAAGACTCCTTGATACGAGTTTAAACTATCTACAAACTCAAGTCAAAGAACTCCTGGATAAGAGTTTAAACTATCTACATGTCCAAACCAAATTTAAAATTTTGAGACTCATTCACTACCAAGATATTTTGTTCGTGAACAAGTCTCAAGGGGGCATTTGTAGACATCGAAATTTTAATATTTTATTAATTAATATCTTTATTTATTTTTGGACATAAATCCTTGATAAATAAGATATTTGATTAATAAAGTTATTATTTCTTGCCCACCAAGCCAAATTTTAGGATAAGGAAAGAGATTATATCAAATCTTAGGATAAAGAAAGAGATTATATCAAATCAAGAAGGACCAATCAAATTGATGTCTTCTTTTTCAAAACTCTCTCTGCTACACTTATAAATAGGACTCTCCTCAAGGTCAAAAATCACACCTCAAACACCTAAAAAATATCAAACACATCTCAAAGATTAAAGTCTCAAATTCAAGTGCTCTCAATAACCCTCTTGAAGATTTGAAGAAGTTCTTGAAGAACCGACCGAAGTCCGTTCAATGAAGAAGAAGGCCAAGAAAAAGAAAAGGAGACGACTTCTCTTCCCCAAGAAGTAAAAAGGCGACTTCAACTGCTCTCAAATCAATCGGAGCAAGCGACATCAAGCCGCGTTCATCGAGAAGTTCAAGCAACATAACGTTTGATCCGGAAAAAAGTTATCAAGCCCCCGAGTCAACGTTATTCAAAACCCCTCTTTTAAGAAGATCAAAGAATCGAGTCCTCCAAGAAGTCTTCTTCAATCAAGTCAAGACCTAACATTTAATACGAGAATAAGTCATTCAACCCCCAAATTAATGTTAGAGAAATTCAAGACCAAGCCCGAAGGAGATTAATTCGTCAAATTCATATTTGAAGGTCTCAATCCCAAATTCATGAAGAGAAGAATCAGATGAGATAAATAGAGATTGTACCTGCAATATCATTTTAAAATTTAATCAAGTTGTACAAAAGTTTTATGTTTTTCATAATAATTTCGAAAAAAAAAACAATAACATTCTTGCAATTAAATAATTAAATATAACAATGAACAATCTGGACAATTT